GAATTACAAGTTTTGAATCTTAAAAAGAGCACCCAAATCATCTTGGAGAGATTGTTTAATCATTTTCTTTTGTCTGACACTCAATCTAGAAATCATTGGGCTACTTTCTTTAAGGTTTGCAAGCCTATATTTGTTGGGGGTTTAGGTTTTAAGAACTTGAAACAAATTTTTAATATTAATATCTGCAAGCTTTGGTTTAAATTTCGTGCTAAGAGTTTGTTATGAGCTAGATTCCTCCTTCATAAATATTGTGCTCATTTAAACCTGATCATTGTTCAATGGAAAGTGGGGGACTCAAAAATCTAGAAAGAAATCCTTAAAGCTAGATCGGTGGCTAGTAATTTTGTTTTTTGGAATATAAGAGAGGGTAATATCTCATTTTAGCATGATCAATGGGGATTGGGAGATTGGAATTTAATTGCTCAACCACCACTTAACAATAACTTGTTCATTTCTGATTGTTGGGTTGATGGGAATTGGGATGTTAACAAATTATATGCTCTTATTGGTGAAAAAACTACTCAGGTCTCTAAAATTCCTATATAAAAGAGATTGAAGGACACTCCTCTTTGGAAAGCTTCCTCTTCTATCTCTCTCACTAAATTACTTTATTTGAATCTCTAAAATTACATGCATTGGGGAAAAGATATATGGAATGCATTTTTTACTCCTTCCATCTCCTTTTGCCTTTGGAGATATTTTCTTAACATGCTACCCTTTAACATATTCTAAAGCTAAAAGGTCTAAAGTTTGCTTCTCAGTGTTACCTATGTAAGAAAGATGAGGAAGCTGCGGTGCACCTATTCTTTAACTGTTCTCATGCCAAAGAATTCTGGTATGTTTTGGGCTAGTATTTTCACATTAATTGGTTGAATAAATCCTCTATTAATGATTATCTCCTCATTTGGAGAGCTGCTGCTCAAGTGGATACAAAAATGGCTTGGTTTCCTTTAGTTGTCTGTTGATTTATTTGGGTGGCTAGAAATGATTTTAAATATCAAAAATCTTGGTTTGTCTCCATCTACTGTTATTTCATATATTCTGGATTATTTTTATCGTGTTGGTTGAATCTTTAGCATTGAAGGAACTATATCTCAACCTTGGGGGGGTAGGATGATCACTATGATTAAGTGGCAACCCCCTCCTTCGAGTTGGACCAAAACATTGATGGAAGCTGAGCTCTTGTAATCACTTGGGTCACTGCCTTGGTTTTTTTGCTTCTCTGATTACTACTCTTCTCCTTTAGAGGCCGAGTGCTGGGCCTTTTTGTTGTCTCTGTAGGGTGTGATTTCCTGTAACTTTTCCAATCTTATTATTGAGACTGATTCTCTTACCCTTTACAAGGATTTTGGCATGGTTTCCATAACTAATTGGAACTTGTGGGGTACTTGAAATAGAATTAGAGAGCTTATTGATAAGTATAAGTTACCAATTTAGCTGTCCTATACTTTTTGAAAAGGAAATTCCCCTACTAATTGGTGGGCTAAGAAAGGAAAAGATGCGGGTGGACTTTTCGTTGGTGTTACACCACTGCATCATTTAAAATATCTCTTATTGGGAGACTCTCTGGAACATTCAAGTATGATATTGGAACACTACAATCCTTTTATGGTTATTTGTTGTCTCCCTGATGAAGTTATTTTACTCCTTCGGTTGGGGTTGTTGTGTGATGTTGTTATAATCTTTTACAGTTTTAAATCTTAGGGTTTTCTGCCCAGTTTTGTGACTATTAGGATGGTCTCCATCGTTTTGTTTCAGCGTAATCTAGGAGAAGTTTATGCTTGTTGAACATTTTTGGTGAAGTGCTGGGATGGTCTTGATTCCGACTGTTTAGTTATATTTGTTACTGTGATGTATGTGATTATATTCTTAATTTCCTTAATTATAATTTTTACTTTGCAACGGCACCAAAAACTTGATCCTAAGCAAAAGCTAGGTAAAATCTTGACTTTGAAGCAAATAAGAATACATTTACAATATTTAAATATGAGATAGTTATCAAGTAATGTATGAATTTTTTATTAAGCCTCAAATATCGAACCCACAGAGAAAACTACAACAAGCAACTTACAAAATAGGAGAAATTAAGTAGCAAAAATTTTACTTAGAAAAATACTCTTACTTAAACTTTAGATGCTATAATATGAATGACCGTTCAATTCTTTTTTGTAATTTTTGATAATTGAAAATAAAGTAAGTAACTAACTAACTTAACTAAATATTTGCAAAATAAAAATAATATGAATAAAATATCTTTTTCCTTATCATGAATTTGTAATAAATATATAAATTCTGTTGTGGAAGTATTCTAATTGTGTTGTGTCAAATAGAAGCAATAATATTCCTTACCCTTATTAGAGATGCTATAAAGAATATTGACTAATATATAGTTTGAATAGTCTTGAAGACGGGTTAGGTAAGGAAGATACTAGCTCTCACTCTAGAGTTCCCTCTTCTCCCTCCACTTGGGGGCTAACATCTTTTATCAAAACCTAAAACTATAAATCAAATTTGCGGGCTTTACCCTGTCACTTTAAAGTCCTTTAATTCTACTCCTTTCAAAGTTTATTTCCCTATTTATTTGCACTCAACCCCATGAACTACATTCTCATCCATTAAATTAAATGTGATTCTTACCATTTGTTTACTAAGACAATACCATTTCGGATCTTACATGTTCTCACAACAGGCATTAACATCTTAATTAGCCAAATCAAGAAGTAAATAAAGCACAAGGTTTAATATCATCACAACTTCTTCCAACATTAAAGACTAATACTTCACAAAACTTCCCTCCAATACTTAATCACTTATCATTTTAAGGAAAAAGATAAAAGAAAACTACTCAGAATTCATGGAGAAAACACAACCACACTTGAGTTTGAAAATAGAAATCATGCTAAAAAATAAGGAGTCTAAATTAAAGCCAAATGTAGTCACAAAGATAAAAACTTATCTCATATCTTCTCCACCAAATATCTTGAAGTTCCTTTGAATCTCCTCCTTCACTTACAATACAAACCAAAACTTAAAATAAAAAGAAAAGTGGGCGGCAGCGATGGGTGACGGCAGTGGCGTATGTGGTGGTTGGCACTGGATTGGTCTTATGGATGATGATGATTTGATAGATTCCTTCTATGGTTGATCCAAGTCTTCTTTTATAATTTTCCAAGAGATTCCTTGGTGTCTCTTCAAAATGTGTCTCCATTCAATGAATTTTCTAGAAGTTGTCTCCTTTCAAAAGCCAATTGAATGAATTTTCGTGTCCATTAACTATTTCCCACATTTTCACCAAGGGTTGCTTCACACAACTCTTCAAAAATTTGTCGAAATTCAATGTATCATCAAATGAATACTTCTGGCGCCTAAGCGTGGGGTACCTGATGCTTAGGCGCGACTTTCTCTATTTAACTTACGCGTAAGCGCCAGTTCTGGGTGCTTAAATGCCTCAGTTCATTTTTTTTTGACCTTCTTATTTTTTTGCTCCGAATTTGATCCTTTTTCACTCATTTCACCATTTTTCATCTATTTGATTATACATGAAATAAAAACACACAAATACATTTCATTAAAATGCAATATCTCAAAAATAAGTATAAAAATGTTTACATAATGACTATATATTTTAGGTGTATCAAGTTTCCATATGTTTCCTTCAGCGTACCTGGGAGAATTTTATGCTGGTTGGACCCTTTTGGTGATGATTATCTTTGCCATGTCTCTTTGTTTATTGATTAACAATGGAAATTTTGATTGGCTGGATTTATGGGAGAATTTGGCTACTTTTCACTCTGATTTTTGCTGCAGAAAAGCATATTTATGTGTTTTTGGCTCAACTGAAAAGGATTGCGGTTTTTATTTCCGTTCTCTAAATCTTCTTCTATGTTTCTTTGCTTCCTTGTTGTTGTGTTACTGGGAGGACTCTCCCTATTTTGGTTCCTTTTGAGCATGCATGCGGATTGTCTGTACTTTGAAGCTCATTATCTTCGAAGACTGCTGTCTACATTACTAAGTTGCAGGTTGGTTGTTTTTGTTCTGGCTGACTCAGGTATTTCTTTTTGTCTTCAAAAGCTACATACACAAAATTATGTTACCTTTATTGCTTTTCAGATTACGACGACTCTTGGTTACCTGGAAGCTAGCTCGGTTTGGAACTTTTTGGTATAAATACATAGTTATATTTTTTGGTGTGATGGGTATATAATCTCTTTTGTATTTTGCATTTTACTTTGGGTGTTTTGGTGTGAGTTGTAATATGGTTGAGGAACCTCCATTTTAGTAAGTATTGTATGTTTTGGTTTTTTATAGGGGGATCCTCTCTCAACCCCATTTTTGTGCCTAACTTTTGTGATTAACACGTAAGGAGCCGAATAATGCTACTTTTCCAATATATATACACACACACACACACATACATATACATATATACATACATACATGCATACATATACATACATGCATACATATACATACATATACATACATGCATGCATGCATGCATACATATACATACATGCATGCATGCATACATACATACATACATACATACATAACATATGTATGTATGTATGTATGTATGCATGCATGCATGTATGTATATATATGTATGCATGCATGTATGCATGCATGTATGTAAATGTATATGTATATCTATATGTATACATGTACGTACATGTATATATGCATATACACATATACGTATATGTATATATGCATATATGTATATTGATATATGTATATATGCACATATACATATATATATATATATATATATATACATAGACGTGTGTGTATATATATATATATATATATATACATAGATATGCATAGACTGAGAAAGACACATATATATATAGATATATACGTAGACATACACATATACAAATATAAACATATGCATAGACTGTGTGTGTGTAAGCGCACGCATATATATGCAAAAATTAAAGTTATTGAGCGGCATGTTCCAAAACTTTATTATAATCATAGATGCTTTAAATTCCTCACGAAAACTATTCGGGCATAAATTGGCGTTTGTTTTACTTCAGTCATGCTACCCTCTTAGGCCCTATAGTGCGTCCATTCCTCACGGAGCTCCACTTCTCCATCGAGTTCTCGAGGTCTCTGGTGATGCTTTTCTGGTGGCCATTACTCGTCCTCAGCATCGCTTTTGCGATCTGCCGCTTTCTGCTCTTGTTGATTCCGCCCAATGTCCCCTCCATTGAGGTCGATGCATCCGATGGTAAATCCCTCGCTTTTTGCTACATTCCTTATCTGCTGGTTGATTTTTGACCCCTTAGACGCTTAAGCGTTCTAATTCGTGGCAGTATTGGAGGACGGGAGCCAAACGAAGGAGAATGGATACATTTACGTGAGTGCCCGTTCTCACTCGTTCCTAGTTTTTCTAAGATTATCCTTTTTATTCTTTTCGTATTCCCCAACATTGATTTGTTTCTTTGGTGCTGTCGAGCAACAAATGAGATTTAAGGTATTAGGATTTAGTAAATCCCGTAAATCCGGATTACTAAATCTTGAAATGGTTAAATCTGGGCAATGGATTTACTAAATCCTGTAAACCCAATAGAACTGTTTGGCAATTTCTACAAGGATTTAAGAATTTGTTATGGCTGTTGGAGACAGTTGGAAGCCCGCGAAGTTTAATCGCAAGCCCCGCGAGTTAAATCCACCGGTTTGTGGGATTTAGGATTTACTGGATTTATAGCCGAAATCCATGGAATTTGGATTCAAGGCATCCGGGGATTTATTTTTTCCAAAATGACCGTCTGGCAGGATTCCACTTAAATCCCACATGAATCCTGGGTTAAATCCGTTGCGGAACAGCCCCTTAGTGATTTCTTTTAGGATGGGGAGGAATATAAAGACCATGATAGAAGTTTTCAAATTATAGAAAAATGAATTCTACTGCTGTCAAACATGATTGCATTGATGAATTATTCCTACTTTTTTTAATTGAATGGCGGCTTATTAGTTACTGAATAGTTGCATCTTTGTGGCTTTTATTTGATAATATGTCTTTCATTTTCTCTTTTGCATTTTCCTAGAAAATTTTTATTTTGTGCAGATTCCAAGCAAGGGAAAGCAAGCCCAGAAGGACAAGGTTCAGTGCTACGAGCCTGCAACTATGAAATATTTGGGTTTCTATCCGGCCGTCACATCTGAAGAGGTCAGTGATGGTACATTTGCTTATTAATTTTGCTAAACGCTTTAGTTTGTGATCAATCATAATTGTTAATCTTTAGCCTGTTTTTTTTTCCATTGGCATTTAAATGCTATTTTATCAAAATTTTAAAAAAAATCATGCCTAATTATTTTCTTGCTTCATCGTACCCTTAGTGTTATTTGAATACAAAGCATTTTTAGAAAATTTACATTGGGCATTTTTTAACTAAAATAATCTAATTTAGGGTGATAAATGTAGGGGAAAAGGGTGTGAAAAAGAGGGATATACCAAGAAAGATGGTATAAATAAAGTAATATGCTGAAACATTAGAAAATTAGGGTCACAAGACTTGCTTTTTTTTATAAGGTTTGTTTATGTTCTCAGCCCCACAAAGAGATAGACGTTTGAATTAGTACAGAGATGCATACAAGAAATAAACATTTGAACTTGAATATTTTTTTACCCCTTTATCTCTCTATTTATCTTGTCTTCTTTTCCCTCTTCTGTTATCTTGTTTTCTTTTACACTCTCTTTTGATCAAGCCCTCTCCATGTGTTATGCTAGTTGCTCAAAATTGTTTAAACCCCTTGCTGCATTATTCTCCACCTTTTGTTCTCATGCACTTGATTTTTGCACCACTCATTTTCCCTAGACCTTTCCAGCTATTGACACATGCAAAAACATCATATTTTTTTTCTCAGTACCCTTATCGTCTTGTTGGAGGTATCGGTAAAGAAGATGTAGTGATCCTTTAAAGGATGTTGTTAGGGTTGTTTCCTAAATGCAATAATGTATGTGTTCCAACTTCTTTATATTGGGTTGTCTTTTAATTAGTGCAAAGCTGATCTTCCTCATCTTTTCAATGACAAATTTCATATTAAATAAAATCTAAAGAATTAAAATTTGAAATATTACCATTTGAATATAATATCCTTATCTCAATATTGTGCCGAACCTCTGGTGCCATATATGTTTGCCAGTTTCTGTCTCAAGAACGCTCCCATTGTTTCAATATTTGAAGTCTCACATAGTGGGCCATCGTTGTTTTCCTATGTTATCACAGTAGCTAGAGCCATATCCTTCATTCCCTTACTCCATTAAAATCATATTCCTCATTAGATCTACAATACGCCTCATCTTAGGAAGCTTGTGGATAGTTTCATTTGTAATTTTAATTTGCAAATCACTAACTCCTTGAATGCTCAAGTGCTTATCACCAAAAATAAAAAATTTCCCACAAGCTCTTGCAGATTAGTTAAACATAAGGTCTTTAGACAAAATTGAATAAAAATATGAACTTTGTTCTAGGATTTAGTGTTCTCCATTACAAATTATTGCATGATAGATATTTTCTGTTGCAGTTTTCATAGATTTATCTATTTGATTGGAATCTCATCCAACTTTGTTTTACGAGCAATCTCTTTTCATGAGGCGTGACTTCTGCCACATTTTTAACCAGCAATGTTTTGATCTTGGATTGACTTCCTTCCATAAATTTTTTTTATACCTCTGTTTTTGTTCCATTTTGTGCTCTATCTTTGTTCTGAAGATTCATTTCAATAGAAGAGAGCTTTTCTTTGTTTCTCAGCTTCGTAAGCCCTCACATGAAATCCAGCACAGACATAGGGAATTTTTGCTTTGTAGACCCATAGGAACTGTTGATCACCATTCCATTTATTCAAAGAATCAAATATAAAGCTCAGGCAAGATGATCAATTTCATGAAGATCAAGTATGTGGACACACACTAGAGGGTTGGATTTTCATACCCCATTTGCATGCTCTGCTGGCTCCTTCAAATGAAAAGTTTGTGATGATCGAGAGCAATCAAGTACCATTCAACAATGGCCAACCTCTCCTTTCATCATGAAGTAACATGTGATTAAAATTGGTGTCATCCCTTACCAAAGGAAGAAGTATCGTTTCACTCCATCCATTCAAAGAATGACTAAGCTCTCTTTATGTTTAGGAGCAAAATGCAATTAAAATTAGACCGCTCTCCTTCCAAAACTAGCATGGTTGAATCATCCCTTATGTAGGTTTTAATTATTCTTGAATTTTCTTTTATCAATTTGTTTATTGCTTTATTTTATCTGCACCCATCCCATACAAGAATCCATTTGATGTGATTTTTTTTTTCTAAACCACTCCATATTAGGTTTTAGCCCAGCCAGAATTAGCCTAGGTTATTCTATAGATAAGCAAGTGTCATGTAAGATGAATGCAATTATGGAATTAATAAAATTCTTTGGAGCTTGTTCAAGAGCTTCTGTGAAGGTTGGCTTTATTGCTTTGTTTTTTCTTGGAACCCTTTGGTGAGGTTTTCAACCTCTTATGAAGTTGCTTTGTAAGAGCTTCATTTATGTCTTTTGTAGAGTTTTCTTTGTTGCAGCATCAAATAACCATTAGTTATCTCCATTTTGTAATCCACTTCCCTTCTCGGCCAACCTTGCTTGCCTTGTTGACGAATGCATTATAATTCTATCTCCTTAGACCTCCTCACGAAGCCACATAACAGTACCACTATCACAATTTTATAAAAGCAAGGGCCCTCATTTGGCGTAGAGCTAATGAAGATTCAAAATATCCTTGTAGGATTTGATGGTGTGGCAGGCATCAACATGTACTCTCAAATGCTAGAAAACTTCATTTCAATGGTAGGTTGGTAAGATCTTATATGCTAGTTTAGAGGCAATATAAGACCTTTAAAATTTTCTTTCAACCTTTGATTCATTATGGAATTCTAATTTGTATCCTTGCATTGTAGTGCACATCTTAATAAAAACTTGAACGTCTGGCATAAAAAACCAAATCATGGCCTTGGCAGAATCTTAATCACAGTGACAATTGTAAAGCTTGACCATGGAAAACTTTATCATTGCATTAAGGATGTGTACATTATGATATTAGAGGTATAAAATCAGTTGAATCAACTAATGTGCCGACTGTTATTTTATTAAAACCATAAATTAAGCCTAATACACAAAACTCTCCCCAGACATCCCCATTAAACTATCCCGTAAATTCATTTTTCTTATAATTCTACTACACTTTCACCTCCAGTTCCACTAAAGCTTTCTTCAAACCTATTTCTATGATCATACCTAAAAATAATACTCTATCCATTAAAACTTCCCTCTCCCACGTACTTACTGTTCTTCCAAAACCACAAACGCTAGGTCTTACTGATACCCTTCCAATAGTGGTAAGCAATAGCAAATGTGTTCAAGCTAATCCCCTCGTATGAGTCTCAGTTCATTAAATGCAGATCAAACCATCTGTAGCAAAACATTGCTTGACAGTTGCTGGTTCTAACAATATAGCTCCTATGAAGGCTACAACAATTTTAATTTTGTGGATGACGAGGCACAAGAATCAAATATCAATTATAAGCATGAAGATCACTTATATTAAGATTAAGCGTGCTGACAAATGGAGGGTTGGTTTTCATATCCTAATTTTTATGGTCACCTGGTTCCTTCAAATTACAAGTTTTTGATGATGAAGAACAATCAAGATAGCATTCAATCACATATCGTATAACCTTACCTGACTTCTCCCTTTATGATGAACATACATGTGATCAAAAGTTGTATTGCTTTTTCCAAATGAAGTATGGCTGCTCACTATACATCATGGAGTTAACATGTACTTAGCTGAAGATTCACTTCACTTTCTATTCTAAACATGAGAGTTCCCTCGTGTTTAGAATCAGCCACCACTCTCCTTTCAAAAGAAGCATGTTCGAACCTACATTAAGTAGTTTTTAATGTTTGTTTATTTGATGTAACTAATTTTTTTCCTCTTTTGTATTAGTCGTTGCTCTCGATCCGTGCCCTCTCTGCCACCATATAGTAATCTATGTGATGTATTTTTATTAGCCCAAGCCTTGCACACTAGGCTATGATTGGCTACCCTTGGAATTCTTCAGGATTATTCTTTGAATTAGTAAGTCTCATGTAAGATGAATTTATTAGTGAAAGTAATAAAATTATTTGGTATTGGTATAATTGCTTGAGTGAAGACTAGCTTGGTGGTTTTCTTCTTTCATGGAATCCTTTGGGGAGGTCTTCATTATCTCTGTAAAGCTCTTTGGTTTGCGATTCCTTGAGGTTCTTTGGTGAGGCGTTAATCATAGACATCTCTTTTTCAAATGCTTGTACTTTTACTTCCTTCTTGCTGATGGCTACTCTCTATCCTCCCAACTGGCCGACCACTATATCATAAAGCTTCCTTCATTAACCTCTATATAACTCCACTTTAATATCCTAACTTCTAGTCCCCTTAATCTCAAAAAAATGCAACACCATATCTTTTTAGCTAGTGATCAAATTGATTATGTCGTGCTGATTTACTTATCATCGCCCTTTTTTACTTTAAACTTCATTGTGTTTCTTTTTTATTCAAGGTACAAAAGCTGCTTGAAACCCTCAAATTGAGATGCTCCTCCTACAAACATAGGCTGCTATCTACTTAACCTCCTCAGTGGCTATTATGCAGATAACCGCTGCAGCCTTTGCCCACCATATGCATTGGTTAGCATCATTGCCCTTTAGAACACAATGTCAGTGCCTCTCTTTACCCATCACCATGTGCTTATTCTATGGATCCATTTGCACCATATGTTAGCTTACTAGTTAGATTTTGAACTAGGATTCCTTCACGCCTCACGACGTTCTCCTCCACCTGTAGACACAGAATGCAATAGAGGCTCGTATAATTTAGCTGAATGAGTACATATTCAAAATTCATTATATTATCCTACTTATCTTGATAGATTGAGAGACACTCAATCATCAAAGTTCATCTGGAACGATGTAACATATCATACTCCACTTTACATAAATCCAATAAATTGAAACATTTCAAATTAAGGGAAGCAATCCAAAACGTATCATATAAATATATCTACAGAGCATCTAAAATATATTAAAATTATTAATAAAAAACATAAATTTCATTTGCCAACTTATATTAAAATTTCTCTAATTTATAATAGTTGTA